AGTTTATGCAAAACTAGGTAATCCGCATGGGTAGACCCAAGGAGGATAATATCCAGAGAGCTCAATGTGAAATTCAGAGCAGATATGTTTGAATAAAAACAGACCACTTTAAGGTTCCATGTAAGAAGTTATTTCACCATAACCCCTTTAACAGGGCTCTGGATCATCAGACTTTACTTCCAAAGGGTGAAATGAAAAATCAAGCATATGTAAAATTAACGAAGTGAGGAAGTGTGGTGGGAGAGAAGATAAGATATGAGTGGATTAGATGTAACATTTCAATTCCTTATTCTTAACTCCACTGTGTGTCGGCTATATATATATATATATATATATATATATGTATATATAATTTTGGTCAAATATAATATAGAAGACATTCAATTCACCCCTGTAGATGATCTTGGAGGAGATCGGAAGTACATAGGTAGGAAAAAACTACGGTGACTTCCTTGATGAATTTCATCTTAACCTCAAGAAACTGATTAGAGAACCGGAAAGATTTCTTATGAAAAAAATATGACAAAACATTTTGTGACACTACTACCCAAAAAAAGCGAATTGTAAACATTGAAAATCATAAGGGAAATTAATTCATTTTGATATGTGGAAATATCCGCTCTTCGCCTGAATAAGATCGATAGACCGGAAACGCGTGTAGCAAATTTATGGGAAATAAAATATAATATAAAATATATTTTTAAAAAAATACGCATTACAAACAACTTTTTTAAAATACACACACACACGCACACACACACACACACACACACACACAATTATATATATATATATATATATAGTACTCCATTGGTATAATCCAAGTGAATACTATTAACACGATATGAAATGTTAAACAGTAAATGTTAAAACTGACTCACCGAAAAGCGTTCAATGTTTGTTTTCTAAACAGTGCAAAATATTTCTTACAATTTGAATTAAGACGCAATTAGTTAATGATCATTTTCACCAGTAAAATCACCAAACTGTCAATAGTGGTAGATAATTAAAATAGAATCATCATTAACTAATGGTGTCTTAATTCCAATTGTATGTTACCTGATGATCCAGAGTCCTTTAAAAAGGATTTTGGTGAAATAAATTATTGTAAATTATTGTAATGGTACCTTAAAGTGGTCTGTTTTTCATTAAATATTAGCTCTGTATTCACATTGAGCTCTCAGGATTTCATCCTCCTTGGAATTACCCATTCGGTTTACCAACTTATATATATATATATATATATATATATATATATATATAACTATGAAGCTAAATTTGCTTTACTTAGTGTATTGGCTACACTTTTATCCATTATCAAAGAAGATTTTTTTTTTGCTTTTTAATTGTGTGTAATGGTTGTGTGTATGTTACTAGATATATAAAGATATTTTATTTTCCGAACACAAAATACTGCGGCCGTGAAAATAAAACATCGCTCGGAATTACATAACATTTGGAGAGTTTCTCCACACTCTGTGTCCAGAAAAGAAAACACCAGTTCTAACACAAGAACAATTAAATAAAAAGCTTAATCGCAGTACTTTGTCTGTCTTCTCTAATGAAGCATGTATAAATGAAAGATTGCTGCCTAAATATACATTATATATATATATATATATATATATATATATATATATATATATATATATATATACAAATGTAAAAGAAAAGAAATAAGTGTAAGATTTCGACGTTCAAAACATTAATTTAAATCGGGTTAATACAAAGGTAGGTTCGTTTGAATAAAATATTTTAGTAGCATCGTATATATACATACATATTACGAATCCATTACATTCACTTACGTGCTAATAGCCTTGGGAAAGGTATGAATCCTTTTCCTCTCCCTCCAGCTATGGGTAAAATAGCAGAACAGACTGGGTTCTATAGCCTTGGATGGCAACTGGTCTAGGAGAAGGACAACTCTGAATTCAAAACCTGCGGAGGGTCGTTTGGGAACCTTGTGGCATTCGGTGCACCAGGTCTCTGTATTCGTCCCTTCAAAACGTGTGGATGGTCCTGCACGAGGCCTTCACCACTATAATCAAATCTCATGTGCCGGTGTCAGGCTGTCGGTTTCCTGGAGACTGATCTGCTTGACCCTCATACGTCGAATCTCGACGGGAGAGTCGATTATTATCACATATATATATATATATATATATATATATATATATATATATATAATGTCTGAAAAGTACCCGTATTGGTATGCCAAACACTTTATTTCAATTCCAAACAATAAGCTACATGGTTTCCCATTCAAAATAATCCCCTTTCGAGTGTAATGCACTTTTCCACCTTTCTCTGCCACGCTTCTGTACCCTGCCGGAAGGATTCCTCTTCAATGGCTTTCATCTCCGTCGTAATGGCCCTCTTGACGTCCTCCGCGCCTCCAATACGGGTCCCCTTGATGATCCCTCTTGGGGAAAAGGAAAATGGGACAAGATCAAGTGAATAGGGAGGATTTTCCCGTATGGCAATATTCTTCTCGCCCAGGAATTGCCGGAAGCTCAGGGTATTGTGAGCAAGTCCATTGCCGTGGGGAAGCAGCCACGATTTGTCCTGCCACAACTCTCGTCTTTTTACGCACACTGAACGAAGCAAATGATGCAGATTACAGTTATATACTCCCAATATATCATGTTAGTTGATTATATATATATATATATATATATATATATATATATATATATATATATATATATTGTATCAATTTGCATGTCGGTTCAGAGATTGGTACTACTTATAAACCCACTACATATATTGGTTTTGCCACAACCACGTTCTTCACCTTCACCTTTCTGCTCTTCGTTCTATTAAACAATTTTTCTTGAAAACACATAGCCATGTACATAATATTAGACAGATATTAGTTGATAACACAACAATACTCACACATACACACAGTAAAAAAGAACCTTCAGATATTGGAGACCATCTACATTAAAACAAAGCAATCCACACTCAACAAAATTACATTTCAAACTAGTCACAACACATTGCATCTAGACATATGGTTCTGTTGTTAATAATTCGTCCCCTTGCGTGAACCACATCATGAATTTAGGACCTGTGTCTGCTATTCTGCGTCCGTTATCGTCGCATAGCAATCTTCTATGACAACATAACAGAATATCATCTTTGATGGTGTATATCTTTGTTTAGAAGTCCATATAACCACTCTGCAAATGTCTCATGTGAGCCAAGATGTTGATACAATGATATATATATATATATATATATATATATATATATATATATATATACTGTTACATTAGAACATGTAAGTTATTACTACAAAATTGTACATTTTCTTTCGACGCTTATTAAACAACGTCTCTTCGTTGTTTAACTACCTGATGAGACGTTGTTGATAAAAAACCTCGAAACAAAATGTACAATTTTGAAGTGGTTACTTAAATATTCTAATGCAATAGTGTATAATAAATTTTTATTGTTCTACTCTTGTATTGAGACCTGTTTTAAATTAATATTTTGAACGTTTCAATTTTATCCTTCGTTCTCTTACATTGATATATATATATATATATATATATATATATATATATATATATATATATATATATATATATATTTCTCTCTCTCTCTCTATATATATATATATATATATATATATATATATATATATATATATATATATATATATTAGTTGTTACACGTGTTTGACTAAGCATAATGCCATACTGTCGAGAGATTGATAAGTCTAGCAAAAAGAAATTGTGCTTCCTGAAAGGAATCAAAGCACTATTGCTGTTTTCCATTAGGGAAATAACTTTTAAATCAAGTAAATCTTACCAATTAGAATACAAGAAACTATCATGTTAAAGCAGATGACTATTACACTATTTAAGAATACACATCACTTGTTGGGAGCGCTCGGAGTTGGGATCCGTTGACAAAGTAATTATAGTGGATTTTTTTTTATCTGATATTGTTTCTAATTACTAAAAATTATATATTTCGGCAGTAAGTATTTGAATGCGCATCCGTACTTACGGCTAACATTTTATACACACGTTCTTGTTTGAATAGTGCTCTTCCGGGTTCATGCCTTCGGCTCGAAATTGTTCTTCCAAAATTTAAATGCAATGAAAATCATCATCTTCTGAAACCAGTTTTTTTCGTTTTTTTTTTTTTACTCAGAATCTTTCCCTCTCTGTAACCCCCCTTGCGTCTGTGTGGCTTTATCGCCTTGATTGAAATGATTAATATATATATATGTATATATATATATATATGTGTGTGTGTGTTCACGCGCGTGCGTATACATATTTTTGATTGGATAATCACACGCTTATGAAAAAAAACGCAGCCACCCCTGACACACACGTGCTCCCATAAACACACAAATGCATACACACACACACACACACACATACATACATATATATATATATATATATATATATATATATATATATATATATGTTTGGGTGTGACTTGGGTAAGTAATGACATTGTAATATTACACCCATCATTTTCAATGTCTTAGTTTTGCATGAAGCTCCCTTTTTTTACAGTTATACAGTTTTACGTATATTAATTATCCTCTCTCTCTCTCTCTCTCTATATATATATATATATATATATATATATATATATATATATATATATATATATATATATATATATATATATATATATATATATATATATATATATATATATATATATATATATATATATATATATATATATATATATATATATATATATATATATATATATATATATATATATATATATATATTCAAGGCATTCCGTTCCACTGTACGGTCTACTTGGCAAAAACGCACAACTTCTTCATAATTGCAGCTGCAGAATCTCGTCGTCTCTTAATTTCAATTCTGCTTCTATTACAATTAACATCGGCACGTACCAGTACTTATTAAAAGTCCCTACTAATGTTACTAACTGTAGTAATTAGTTTTTATTTTCATTGGGCAGCGACAAACCGATAATAAAATAATGCCATGAACTTTACGGAACGGTTTCAAATCCTCGTTTCTGCACCTCTTTCTGATGTGAAATTAAGCTTTTCACAATCCCTTTTTTTTTTCTTTTTCTTTTTTTTCATATCAGGGAACTCTCGATTTCTTGTACGATTATTCCTTCCGGTGGGTAAGAATTTCGGTGGGTAAGAATTTCGGGGCGTAAGAATTTCGGAGTGTAGGAATTTCGGGGGGTAGGAATTTCGGGGGGTAGGTATTTCAGTGGGTAGAAATTTAGCATCAGGGAAAATGCTGTTTTAATTGGAATTATAATACCAGATGATTTTTTTTTTAAATTAAAGGAAAAGTATAGTTTTAGTTATAATGTCATGTAAAATGCTTTCTTTTGGAATTAAGTGAATATTTTTCCCGTTATACTGTCAGGTAAAACGCTTGTTTTTTTTGTTTGTTTTTTTTAATTATATCTTTAGGTGAAATGCGTTGTTTTTTAAGATAATAACGTCAGATAAAATGCTTTTCATAAGCCATTTGTAATGATATTATTCCAAATAATTTTATTCATATTATTTTTGTAACTTTTCCGATCGATTTCTTCTTCAGCCTTCAAATTAAATTTCGAAAAAAAATCGAACCAATTCTAATATCAGGTTAAATGTGTTCTTTTGAAATGAGGTAATATTAAAAAAAATTTAATTAGGTAATTAACCGTTTTCTTGATTAATTAAAAGTTAAGTGAAATGCTTTATTTTGGAATTCAAACATCAGGTGAATTTTTTTTTCAGAATTGTAACATAAGGGGCAGTTCTCTTTTTTAAAAATTATAACCTTAAGTCAAATGCATTGTTTTTTCGGTATGATAACGTCAGCTGAAATTCCTTATTCGGAATCCTAATTTTAGAGTGTACCGCTGATATCCGAAGGCGTATTGGGATGGCCAAAGGCGATCTCCTGAAAGACGAAGAAGCAACTCGAAGCAACGGATGTATGGTTCTACAGAAGGATGCTGAGGATACCATGGACCGAACATATTGGGATGGATATATACGTATTCCAAAAGCTAGGCAGAGTATTACGAGACAGGAGGATCTCGTTGATAACAAAGAAAAGAGTACTGAACTGCTACGTGATATCTGTCCTCCCTTACGACAGTGTATATTGAACGGTCTCCTCAAAGATGATAAAAAGATTCTAGACAACGGAGGTATCTTTCTACAGAAGGATGCTAAGGATATCATGGACCGAACATATTGGGATGGCCAATGACGCATTTCAAAAGCTAGGCAGAGTATTACGACACAGAAGGATCTCTTGATATCAAAGGAAAGCGTACTGAACTGCTACGTGATATCTGTCCTCCTTTACGGCAGTGAATATTAAACGGTCTCCTCAAAGATGAAGAAGAGACTCTAGACGTAATGAAAAAGGATGGCTTGGAGAATATGGTACTCACAGGGCGAATAGAAAGAAAGAAAGACGTGGAAAGGCAACGCGTGACATACCCGGCGGGGTTAGGCGAGAAGATGACAGAACAGAGTTTTGGAGAAGTAGCAAAGGGACAAAACATATTGAGAGCTCCAAGGGATAAGGAGAAGCGGAGAGCCATGATCGCCTACGTCCTGAAGTGACACGGCACATAAAATAAGAAGAATGTTAAGTAATTTTTTTTAATTCTTTAATCAAATCTTGAGTTTCTACGTCATATGACGTGAATTTGTTTTGTTTTGTTGAAAAATTCATACAACGTCTTATCTTTAATTCTCTAACTTCCCAATTTCTTTCGATGGCTTCTAGATTATGTGATGTCACTTGATGTCATCAGGATCGAACCCGGCGCCTGGATTGGATGCTTCCCATTAGTCCAGAGATAATCACATTTTCCTAATCGAAACGTTTTTCTACCCCCATTCCACCATAAAGAAGGCGACAAAACCATTAAGTCGCAATGACTTACTAGAAGTGAAAAAGAATTGAAAAAAACTCTAGTAAGGTAAAATGACAATAAAGGAACAGGTTTCTAAGAAGACTGCAGATAATGACTGGCATTATCTGTCTATATTTCTGAGATGAGGTATTATGTACCCTATTTACATTATTCGGACTATTGTCCTCATCTTTGTCGCCATAATTATTACAACGTTTGGGCCGTTGTACGCTCCGGCCTTCTTCAGATGGTTGGAATGTCGAATTTAAACCATTCTTTTGCTCACTGGGGTAGACTGTTCTAGTTCCACGTGCCATGTTTAATGGATATCAGTTCTCAGTTATCTCCTGTTAATTCCCCTCTCCACTTTCTCCACTGCCTTAATCGGGTATTGAAATCACACTCTTTGGGTCCTCTCACTGAATCTAACTAACGCGTTTATCCACTGTGCCATGTGTCCTTGAGAAGAAGGCCGGAGCGTACAATGGCCGAAACGTTGTATGGCGACAAAGATGAGGACAATAGTCCGAATAATGTAAATAGTGTACATAATACCTCATCTCAGAAATATAGACAGATACTGAAATATTTATAGAAAAGACAGAGTGAATACATGAAGATACACTGGCGGGAATTTGGCTGATGTCGAGATCTCAGACCCTTTAATAACATTACAGACCCTTTTTTTAGATTTTTACAGAGAATCTCGAGATATACAACAGTAACACCGGCCAAGATATAGCAGCAATATTCGATGTATTCACGAATGGTAGAGTTGTAAATGTGTAAGTAGAATTCTGGCAAGAAAAATTGTCTGGCACGGTGAACAAACATTAGCAGTAAATTATTCTGGTACAAGGTCAGAATTATGGAGCATTGGTGAGGACTTTTATCTTCATCTATAGGCACTGAAGCACGTATCAAATGTTGCTCCTTGCCCACTTGTGACCAGGAAATCTATAAGATACAAGTGTGTTAATCATAACACAAGCGTTAACAGCCCTTGGTCCAGTGTGACGTGGGAAAACCTGAATTTGTTTTCTTTTCTCATCGCATTTATTTTTTGGCTTGTTTGAATTTTTTTGTTTTAAAACCTGGGCAGGTGCACAATTAACAAAATATAATTACTCTCACCCCTAAACTGCGTCTGCCTACTACACGGGCTAGAAAAAGTTTTAACGTTTCAACTCAAGCAAAAGCAGTAGTTTTATTATAGCTCACAGCAAGGTGATTCGGTGTTGTCTTTTTTTTTTAAATCCAGTTCACTCCAACCAAGGCAATAAAGCCACTAAGACACAAGGATCTACTAGGCGTGAAAGAGTTAGAAACAGGAACAATTGCTAGGGAGAGGGAACAGAGGAAGAGTAATCAGGAGGACAGTAGATAACGACTGAGATTGGATTTAAATTTTTGCAGATTAAAGTTGGCTAGAGAGAATGGAGCCGGAAGGGAGTTCAACAAGGGAGAAGTGCGAGAAAAGTTGATAGCATAGAACTTATGGCGGCATCTCGCCAGCTCATCTGTAAATTGATGAGATCTCGACGCCAGTCTAGTGCTGCGCTTAAATTCGAAATGTCAAGACACCATAGCGAAGAGCACTTAACATGAAAGTATTTATAGAAGAGACACAGAGAGGCAACCTTCCGGCGGTGGGAAAGAGACTGGATCTATCTATCTATCTATCTATCTATCTATCTATCTATCTATCTATCTATTTCAGTCTGTTTATATCTATCTATCTGTCTATCTGGTTTTCTTTTTAGATCTATCTATCTACCTATCTATTTATTTCGGGCTTTCTGTTTAGATCTGTTTATTTATCTGAGGCTTTCTTTTTAGATCTATCTATCTATCTATCTATCTATCTATCTATCTATCTATCTATCTATCTGGTATTCTTTTTAGATCTATCTATCTATCTATCTGGTATTCTTTTTAGATCTATCTATCTATCTATCTATCTATCTATCTATCTATCTATCTATCTATCTATATATATATATATATATATATATATATATATTTCCGGTTTTCTTTTCAGAACAATCTATTTATCTGAGGCTTTCTTTGAGATTTATTTATCTATCTATCTGATTTTCTTTTTAGATCTATCTATCTATCTATCTATCTATCTATCTGGTATTCTTTTTAGATCTATCTATCTATCTATCTATCTATCTATCTATCTTTCTATCTGAGTCCTTCTTTTTAGATTTATCTATCTATCGATCGATCGATCTGTTTTTTTTTGTTTGTTTTTTGTTTTTGTTTTTTGCAATCGGAATCACCCCAACAAGACAGTAATGCCAGTAAAACACAAAGAGTTACAGGGTATGGAAGAATTAGGAACAGAAACATGAGCGGGAAGAAAAAATGTAATCAGGACGACAGTAAATAGCGATTGACATGGCATTTACATTTTTGCCGTTTAAAGTTGGCTGGGCAGCATGGAGACGGAAGGGAGCTTCACAAGGGAGAAGTGCGAGAATAGATTAAAAATGTTTTCGCAAATATTATCTTCTCCTAGAATTAGCATTCAGTGACTGTCACAGCTGAATAGAGGAAAAATGGCTTGTAACATTCAACACCTCCATTACGTACCTAGTAAAGTTTCAACATCATGGGGCACAACCTGACTTTCCTCCTGATGAACACTTGTACTCTAAAAGTGACTCCACGCTTTGAACGGTTATTGGCACGCAAGTTCATCACATACCTCAAGTGGAACTAATGTGAACGATCCATCGATATAGAAACTGGAAAACAGATATCTTTCTTGTTCTGCTGCATAGAGTATCAGACTCCTCCTACCATGCACTATATCTAGATGCAACCGTAAGTTCTATTCTAATAGTTTCTTCCTTCGCGCTACACCTTTCCGATTTCTTGCTTCCCTGTCACCTACAAAATGCAAATGCAATGTCAATTGCCATGTCTTCTAGTTCCAAAAACTTGTTTTTAGTCTCTTTTCTCTTCACTAAATATTTCTCATTCTCTTCCCCATCCGGCAACCCTTTACGTCTTAGTGGCATTATCGCCTTATTTGGGGAGAAATTATTAAAAATCATTCTTTATAAGTGTTAAATTAGACCAAAAAATAGAATACTGCCGCCATATCTGGGCTGGAGATGCCAAATGTTTACATTTCAGCCTTGACAGAGTTCAAAAGACCCTACGCGGCCTGATGGGTGATGAATTATTTTCCACTCTGCAAGCCCTTTCCCACGTACACAAAGACGAATCAACTACATTCCCTTTTGTTGTAGTAGAGAAAAGAAAACTATAAACTTATAGTTGCCATAAGTTTCTTCTGTCTCTCGACCGCAACACTTGTAGCCAAATCACAGTTCAAACGATAGTCCGTCGTAACAGTCCACGTAGAAACGACAAAATGGGGTCACAAATTCAACCTGAACTTCTCACCAGCAGAAACGCGTGTTCATTCACCCAGCTCAGAAAATGAAATATATCGACATAAGCAAAAAGAACGGCTTTTTCACTGAGAGATTTTTTTTTGTTGTGATTGTTCACGTCATTCGGGGGAGGGAAGAACATTAGCATAAATTCTGATACTAGTCGATTTATGCTAACTACTTTTGCTCATTTTTCTTCGGCAGATCGCACACAAAACACGAATTATTTTTCGGGGTAGGTGATTCACTACACTTTTGAAACTATATGCTGTTCTCCTAGAGTTTAGCATCAGTCATGCTAACGACAGGAAGAAAAGGTTCCCTGTCGTGATTAAATGAAAGCAGTTTTGCTTTAGAAACGTGAAAATCTATAAGCCATTTCTTGCCCCTGTTAACCATGGATTGGAGGTCCTTTTCGTGAGCAGCTACCAGTTTTACTTTGCAGGATGTGTCAGATTGCTACTAAGACAGGAGATAATAGTTGTGTCATCTGCATATTGGGAACTGATGATATCGGGAAGCTCGTTGATGAAGATCAGAAACAGCGTACGTCCCATGCTAGAGCCCCTGTGGGGCCCTGCATTAATATGATATAATCAAGAATTGTTCCCGTTCAACACGACATTCATTACACGATTTCTTAGGAACGATTGGATTACACCCAACGTTCACCCAGAGACTTCATATAGCCCTTGAGATTGTGGACACGGCCAGCATGCCAAAAAATATTGAACGCCTTTACAGACACAGCCCGAACTTCGCTGTTCTTATCTAAAGTTTAATAGTCAAATTGTGTTCACCATTAAAATGGTAGACCTGGTGAAACGGTGGCCATATTGTTTATCCAAAACGAGGCTGCGCGAAGTAAAAATGCTGAACCACTTCGGTATTGATGAACGCCTCTATTACTTTGCCAAAAAGAGGTAAGAGACTAATAAGGCGATAATTTGTGGGGTCATAGGGTCCTCCTGAATTCTTAAACATAGGAACTACAGGGGGAGGGGGTAATTCCAATAACCAGGAAAGGTAAGGGACTGATAACAGTCAAATTTTGTTGGCCGTTAAAATGGTAGACCTGGCGAAACGGCAGCCATATTGTTTATCCAAAACGAGGCCGTGCGAAATAAAAATGCTGAATTACTTCAGCATTGATGAACGCCTCTATTACTTTGCCAAAAAGAGGTAAGAGACAATAATTTGAGGGGTCATTCAGTCCCCCTGACTTCTTAAACACAGGAACTACAGAGGGGTAATTCCATTAACCAGGAAAGAGGTTAGAGACCAATAAGATGATAATTTGAGGGTTCATAGGGTCCGCCTGAATTCTTAAACACGGGAACTACAAAGGGGTAATTCCAATAACCAGGAAAGAGTTGAGAGACTATTAATAGTCAAAAAGTGTTGACCGTTAAAATGGTAGACCTGGCGAAACGGCAGCCATATTGTTTATCCAAAACGAGTCCGTGCGAAGTAAAAATGCTGAACCTATTCGGCATGGATGAACGCCTCTATTACTTTGCCAAAAAGAGGTAAGAGACTAATAAGGCGATAATTTGAGGGCCCAGATGGTTCAGCAGAGTTCTTAGAATCATGGACTTCAGATTGGATAGTAAAGTCTGGAGAGCCAATTGAGGAATCCATTTCTTTAGGACGGTTGTAGGGGGTTACTCTTGATTCCGCAAGTCTTGTGGGAATCCAGTTTTAAAATGAGAGCAGAGAATCTGTAGTAGGGGGAAAATCAGTCTAATCATGATGATTTGAGAGTGGAGTTTGATGAGAATGTCCGGACAAAGCACTCAGCTTTGTTTAAAGTAGATGTCAACACCTCCGATTGATGAAGGAGAGGAGGGACTAAGGAATCTTTTACAGAGTAGCCAGAACCAAACTTGTGAGAGGCTGTAAAGTGATCTCATTCTATCAGCGAATACTTCTTTGGGGACACGCTTATACTCACTACGAGCGGCAAAGAGACGTCTGTTACAACAGGTCCTGTGGCGCAGGAAGAATTGATTGCTGTGGGCTGTGTGGGTTGAACAGACAGGAGAGAATCAAGAAGATGGTGGCTTCACTTCGTATTTCCGTTCCAATGCCGGCTTTCATCCAGGAAGAGAATTCAGTGACACATTTCTCAGAAGGATGATAAAAAAATATAATTCGAATGAGCACCGGGAAGAAAACCACGAAATTAAATTGATATGAAGTGACTGGAATAGATAGATAGATAGATAGATAGATAGATAGATAGATAGATAGATATAAAGGTAAAAGACAATAGGAAAACTGTATTATTAGCCGACACGTTTCGTCTAATGTGGACTTTTTCAAGGACAAAAAAAAAGAAATAAATTTATTGAAAACAAAATAACTATTAACAACAAACAAAATGTCCTTAGCAACTAGAAGAATTTAGGAAACGCTATTTTATTCATATTGTCAAATGAAAATTACGTATGAAAAATACAATATGAATACATATGAATATATATATATAAATGATGAACAACACATTCCATCTGTGGTTGAAGGCATGCGATTGCGTTCGAAATAGATTGAAGCCAGAAAAGTGTGTTCAAAATATTTACAATTCAGCATTAAATAACACATAGAGGTGTTGATACGCCGCTAAACAAAACCCACCAACCAATAATAACTAGAATTATTAAGTATCTCTTAGCATTAGTTTTGTGTAAGTAGAATGCATATATTTACTAAATTGCCTCTTTGGTAATGACCCTGTATTAAACAAAAAGAAAAATAAACAAATAAGTATAATAATAATAATAATAATAATAATAATAAACACAATACACACTGACAGAACAATCAAGGCCAACCGGCCAGATATTGTTATTAAAGACCACAAACAAAAACGGTGCCTCCTTATTGATATGGCAGTCCCTGCTGACTACAATGTATCTTTGAAGATATTCAAAAAGTTGTCAAAGTACAAGGACCTTGAAATAGAAATCGCGAAAATGTGGCATATGGGAACATCAACAATCCCTGTTGTAGTTGGAGCCCTAGGACTGGTTGGAAAAGATTCCAGTAGACTAATTGAAGGGATTCCTGTAAGTCCATGCCTCAAGGAGATACAAAAAATTGTTCTGACAAGTACAGCCCACACCTTACGAAGGGCTTTATCTATGTAATTTTTTTTTTTTTTTTTTTTGTCAGTGGAAAGTGTCATGACGCCATTTCTAACCTTAGGTCCCTGGGCGGGACCCGGAAAGAAATGTGTAAACGCCAGAAATCAAAGAAAATAAAAGTAATAATAATAATAATAACGTATACCCGTCGATGTACCCAGCATGACGCTGATGCATTTTTATCATAGTTGATTACAGGTGTTAAGCTGTACCTTATTTGCTGGTCTATTGCACGCGGAGTTTTTTTTTTTTTTAAATGCACCAAAAATTACCCTGCGTCCAGCAGTATCATATAAGAGAGGAACATGAAGAGAAAGAAAAAGGTGGGCTTCAATAATCAGCGCACGCATAGAGCTTAGCTCTGAAATTAGGACCTCTGGAAGTGAACAAACATATCAATAAAAATATCCCTGAAAATTTGACCCACGAAAAAGAAATTAAGAAATTGCACGATATTCTGCAGCTTGTTTTGTAGAAATACCAAATTTTACAGAAATATTTTCTTTGACAGGTACATTGCTGTGTGGTTTTGTTGATATAAAGGTATTGAAATTTGATTTTTTGTATGTATGGTATGCGTCTTCATTTATCAACAAATGCTATATATTTGTTTTTTTACTTATTATTGTGTTGTAAAATAGTTTTCACAGTGGAGGCTGGTATTTCACTAAGTCGGTCCTAAATTAGGTTCGACGTACAAAACGTTAGGAACTTGCAATAATAGTTAATGACGCAGCAATCTAGTTGTGAGGCTCATACTTTAATGTCCGACATCGACTGACTCACACAACTCACTGAGCTCCACTGGCGACTGCTACTACTACTACTTATCTGTGGGAGAGTCTATTTACAATAGAATAGGTACGTTCCAGTATAACATATTGTATGTACCACTGTTCACTGAGAGTAGTAGATTTATTTGTAGCTATTATAAACTTATTGTATATGAATATGTTGCTGCTTGAAAAACAACTAAAACAATCTTCAATAAAAGCTTGATGAAATGTACTAAAATTCTCCTTTTCCGAACACTATCCTGCTAATTAAACTTACCCTTAATTCTATTAAAAAAATAACAGACGTGTAATTTGTGATAATACTGTAGGTGTTTCTTCATCATCAGTGAGAATGTTACATAAAGATAAAATTATAATTTTGGCTTTTTTTGGTTGGGATGTATGTATTTTTCCCTTGCCAAAATCTGGATGCTTGGGTGCGTCCAATAGGCCGGCAAGTACGGTACACGTTTTGTTTTGAAGAATTAAGATGTTATTTAGGCCTATCCTTTAGGGGATGACACTCTGTACATATCTGCTCATGAGCGGGAGGAGCGAGGAAAGAATCATGACGATAGGTTCGTTTTTGTAAGTATAAGGAGACTAGTGTGTAGGGGGGGATACAGCCTTCGAAGCCGACCGAATGTATTTCTAACTAAAACCGACCTGCAATGCTATGCGCAGCTTTTATCAAAACCTTTTACAATCCCGCGCACATTTTGAGCACTTCAACGTGGTGTAATTTTTAGCAAGCTTGTCAGGCGAGATCAGTTACGACTGAATAGATAGTTTGATACTCACAGGGTGCCTCGTACTTTAGGCCTTGTTATACATCTAAACTACACTGAGAAACTCATTTGGTCATCTCGACGTGGAATAATCATTAGCAGGCGGGCCTCACTAGATCAATTGCGATTGAATAGCGAATTCGATCCTCATTGGGTGCACCATAATTTAGTCCTTGTTCCACATCCAAGCTGCACTTAGAAAATCATTTGGCACTTCGACATGGTGTAATGGTTAACAAGCTTGTCTCATTAGATCTTTACTAGTGAATACTGAGGTATATCCTCACTGGGTGATCCACAACATTCGGCCTTCTGCCATACCTAAGCTACACTGAGAAAATCATTGGGCACTTCGACGTGGTGTAATGGTTAACAAGCTTGTCTCGCTAGATCAATTACGGCTGAATCGTGACTTCGATCCTTACTGAGTGCCCCATACTTTAGGCCTTGTGCCATATCTAAGCTACGCTGAGAAAATTACCATCGGTTTCTTTAGTAAATAATTATCATATCGCGCACATTTGGCTGTGATGGATGTGCGTTTCATATCCTTGTCAGTCTTTATACTATTATGGGTTTATTCGGCTTTGTATATTTGTATCTCAACGTTATGCTTTTCATTTATTTAATAATAATGACAACAATCGCTATAAAAATATCACAGATCTGATATTTTTCTTGCAATTCCCCCAAAGAATTTTTTTCAGGGCATTAGAAGGAAACGAATATGTGAGTAAGAATTAAAATAAAACCACTACATATTATTCGAATCTGAAGTAAGCAGCAGCTTCGAAACGAGGTTTAGGACTCACATCCGTGTTGAGGAAACTAAGAGTGATTAGAGACGATTTCCTGTCACTTGATCCCCGACAACTTACCCTACTTCCTAAAATAATTATCCATAATCGAATTAAAATCTGGTCGGCTTTTTTTGCAAAGGCTTTAAAAAAAAAAAAAAAATCTAGATCTGGCTTTTTTCGACCAAACAGAACTCTAACCGAGATACGACATTTTTCATTATTGAATTTATTTTTATAACAGTGCCTTCTCTTAACGCAGAACTCTTTAACGTTAGAGACAAGAAAACAGAAGCCTACCAGCGACAGCATCGAGAGCAAATGCTACGCGCAAGCCATAAAAATTCTAAACCTAACAGTTTTATTGATGTGGTAAAATGTTATTTACCTTCTGGATGATTGAATACCCTGCAAATATATATATATATATATATATATATATATATATATATATATATATATATATATATATATATATATATATATATATATTTCGTACTAAGAGTCCTTACTTATCTTTAACGAAGTTAAGTTCGTAACAGGGCTTCACGTGCAAAATGTATTTTACTCTTATCAAATCTATTATTTGCATGCTTCTACGAACTTTATGGTTTTCTATCAAGGATTAGAGTGCCATATATGTCCAGTTTTCATTCCCCCTCAACAGAAAACATTTACGCTTTCTGACCGAGAGACCTACATGAAAATAGCGAATAAGAATTGAGATATGAAAAGTAAAGTACGAAAATGGTATATATATATATATATATATATATATATATATATATATATAGAGAGAGAGAGAGAGATTTACATTGAACTCTCTGGATTTTATCCTCCTTGGGTCTACCCATACGCATTAACTAATTTTCCATAATATATATATATATATATATATATATATATATATTCATTCACCTGGCTTACTTTTATTCTAGATTTCTGACCTTGTATCTTTCTGCCCACAAACCATTTTCGTACTTTAACTTTCATATCTCAGTTCTTATTTGCTATTTTCTTCTCTCTCCCCACTCACTTCCTCTCTTCGTCAATTTACATATGTAACATTTTTTGTTTCAACCTTTGGAAGTAAAGTCTGATGATCCGCAGTCTTTTAAAATGGCTGTGGTGAAATAATTTATTACATGGAACCTTGAAGTGGTCTGTTTTTATTTAAATTATTTGGTCTGGATTTACATTGAGCTCTCTGGATTTTATCCTCCTTGGGTTTACCCATACGGATTAACTAGTTTTCCATGAACTATATAAACTATATATATATATATATATATATATATATATATATAGTGAAGGATGAATATCCATAGAATAATAAATTCTTTGGGGAAATAAATTATTACAATGGTACCTTAAAGTGGTCTTTGTCTTCTTGTAGCTATATATATATATATATATATATATATATATATATATATATTACGATATTACGTCGAAAATATCAAAATCGCTACACAACTGCAGTCGTGTTTCGATGCGTATCAATGCATCTCATCAGGCGATGCACTGATACGCATCGAAACACAACTGAAATTGTGTAGCAATTTTGACATGTTTCCGATGTAATATCCTAAAATTATGAATATTGCTTTACTTCTTATTGAGCCCTCTTTTAAATTAAATGTTACGATCGTTGAAATTGTACTCTATTTGTTCCCATCTATCTATCTATCTATCTATCTATCTATATATATATATATATATATATATATTTTGAAATGGACAAAGTCAGACAATTATTTTAAGACATTTTCATGTTTATACATTCTTTTTATAGATACAAATATTTAAGTAAATGCTCTGTTTTGTAATAAACAGTATTAATAACATTTACCGGCCTGAATGTCTGAGAAATTTTCGATCTTCGACAGGAATCGAACCTGTATCCTATACGGACCCGTCATTTTTAGCCTGACGTGCCGCAACCGATCGAATCACGGAGAATCGTTCGATTGGCAAGGTCGATTTCATGGAAAATTGAAGTTTAAAAGCAGAAACATCGACCTTGCCAATCGAACGATTCTCCGTGATTCGATCGGTTGAGGCACGTCAGGCTAAATGACGTTTCCGTACAGGATGCAGGTTCGATTCCTGTCGGAGGACGAATATTTTCTATGAAAATTTCTCGGACATTCAGGCCGGTAAATGTTATTAATAATGTTTATTATAAAACAGAGCATTTACTTAAATATTTGTATCTATAAAAAGAATGTATAAACATAAATATGTCTTAATATATATATATATATATATATATATATATATATATATATATATATACAGGGTGACTGAAAGGTATGTTCCCTATGATTTACATATGTGATGAAAATATTGCTTTAATGTATTCTATATTTATGGGTAAAACTGCTCAATATCAGAGATATAGCTTGTGTAAATTTAGGTATACTAATGGACACTGAGCTCAACACCAAATAGCGACAGTCTGTTTCATGCTTAAACGCAATTTCAGGCCATGTGTGTTGGGAGGTAGTTTAGGCTATTTGTAAAAGAACTGTGTCGTAATGGATGCTACCTGCCTTACCCATAATTATAAAGAATGTTGAAAAAACAGAATTGTTAGTAAAAAAAAAGTGGCTATATGAGTCTAAGAAAAATTAGTTGGTGAGAGGCTTGATCAAGCATCAAGACGTGACGATCTCTCTACTTTCGGGCAGAGAAGAAACTCTGACGATGCCATGCCGAAGTGCAGTCTCGTCTAAGGTAGTTGACAAACCCGATCCCGTGTATGCGGGGTCTTCGGGGAATTTTTGCCCGATCCTACGGACTCGGATCGCCCTACATAAAAATCGGCCTTGTGTTACATCCTGTCTCGTGAGAAAGTCTGGTAAATACCGGCTTGATCAAGCATGAAGTCGAGCGCTCAGCTTTCAGGGAGAGAGGAACCCAGACGAGGCCATGCCGAAGGGCAGAGTCTCCTCTGTGGCGGTCGACAAACCCGACCCCGTGTATGCAGGGTCTGCGAGGAATTTTTGCCCGGTCGTCCGGCCTCGAAACGCCCCATGTAAAAACTGGCCTTGTGCCACATCTTACCTTGTGAGGAGAATAGGTAAATACCAAGTCAAGCATCAAGACTTGTCGAACTTTCTGCTTTCAGGCAGAGAGGGACCCAGCTGAGGCTATGCCAAAAGGCTGAGTCTCATCTGGTGGGGTAGAAAAACCAGACCCCGTGTTTGCATAAAAATCGGCCTTGTGCCACATCTTGCCTCGTGGTGAGGTCGGTTAAATACCGGCTTTATCAAGCATTAATCAACTACACGGACGGACACACGGACAGAGAGAGAGAGAGAGAGAGAGAGACCGGCAGTCAGACAGTGACAGAGGAATAACACTATTGAGTAGAAATGTGGGCCAGAATATGGTTATTTGCTTACGATTATAAGAATGTTTAAGCTTTAACTTATTAAATAGGGTATTTATTTTAAGGGTATTGATTTTTTAAAAAGGTATTGATTTTGGGGGTATTGATTTTTTTAGAGGTATTGATTTTAAGTGTATTTCGTATTTATTCAATAATTATTCGATGTTGATTATTATGCCAATGAGTTTTCTCATGAGAACAAATGCATGAACAACTTCTTGGTATTTTCTATTGGGAACAAAAAACCAATAAGTTTGTGCGGAAAAGGGGTAGTAAATTTTGTGGGCCACAAGGAACCTCTTCTCGTCAGTGTCAAACGGAGAAAAATGGCGTAGTTTGAACACATTGCAAAGTACGACAGCCTGTGCAAGACCATCATGCAAGGCACCGTCGAAGATGGACGCAAAAACTGGTTAGACAATGTCAAACAATACCAATGAATAAAGAAGGAAGAATAAGACGTACGAGAAAAGAGACAGAGAGAGAGAAAAGGAGAGAGAATGCGATAGAGTAAGATAGAGTGAGTGAGTGAGTGAGTGTGAGAGGGTGAAAGAGAGAAATTAAGATTGAATAAGTGAGTAAGAGAGAGATAGAGTAGGAGAGAGAGGTAGAGTGCGTGTAGAGAGAGAGAGAGAGAGAGAGGGTGAGAGAGAAAATAAAAAAGAAACTCGTACGCGCTAAAAAGAAAATATGAAGTGAAAAAATAGAAAATCTATGATAGAGAGAGAGAGAGAGAGAGAGAAAAAAAAACGGGCGAGAGAGTGATAGAAAGAAGGATAGAGGATGTGTTAGAGAGAGATATAGCGTGAGAGAGAGAGAGTGATAGAGAGAGTGATAGGCAGAGAGTGAGAGAAAGAATGATAGAGAAAGAGAGTGATAGAGAGAGAGAGAGAGAGCGAGTGTGCGAAAGAGTGATAGAAAGATTGATACAAATGAAAGAGAGAGAAAGAGTGTAAGAACGAAAGAATAAAAAAACCTAAAGAAGCAAGGAAGTAAAGCGAGAGAGAAGAAAAAGATGAAAGAAAGAAAGAAAAAAAGAAAGAATAATAGAAAGAAAATGACAAAAGAAAGAAAGAAGCAGCGATAAAGATGGAACGAGAAAGAAGGAAGGAAGGAAGGAAGGAAGGAAAAAAGCGCGGATGAGAATAAGACAAGAACGAAAAAATCAAAGTGGTATAAAAAATATAATTTAAAATGAAAACAAAGGTAAAAGGAAGGAAGGAAGGAAGGAAGGAAGGAAGGAAGGAAGGAAGGAAGGAAGGAAGGAAGGAAGGAAAGAGTATAAGGAAAGGAAGAAAAGCAAGAAAAACTAAAGACATGGAGAAAGGAATAAGTGTGAGAGAGAGAGGGGGCGGGAATAAGAAAAGATATGAAAGAAAATTTTAAAAGAAATACAAATGAAAAAAAAGGAAAAAGTGAATGAACGAAAAAAGGAAAAACCCGAAGATTCAAGGCAGAGAGAAGTGGGAAGGAAAGAAAGAAAATGACGAGAGAAAGAAAGAAAGAGAAAAAGAAACAAAGAGAAAGACGGAAAAAGAAAAAAGTGAGAAGGAAAGAAGGAAAAGAAAGGAGGGAGGGAGGGAAGGAAAAAAAGAGAAAGTAAAAATGTGAAGAAGAAGAAAGAGAAATGAACTTCATAGCTATAAAATCTCGGACAGAAAAAAGATGGAAGCTTGAGAAGATTAATTGGTGAACCTATCGTCTTTCTGAGGCCGCGAGCCTGTAGAATAAACATCACGGGTGCGAACGAGATGGCGGAAAAACAACATGGCAGCCCTTCCCCCTTACCTGGCCCAGGAACAGGGCGTCTTGCCTTGATGCCGAGGCTGACAAGCGAGCTGCCGACACCGCTGCCACCAACAGAACAAGAACCAAACACCTGCCCCGAGCAGCCATCTTATCCAATCTCTGTTCGCTACCCGTTACCGCCACGTCTGAACACATGAACGTTTTATAGTATGGCGTACTCAACACGTTAACGAAAAACTTAATTATGTGGAGCAGGAAAAGAAAAAGAAAAGAAAGCGAAGGGAAAATGCATAGAGTGTACGTATTTTAGGAGGTAAAAATCTGTACAAAAAAATATAGTAAAAACAAAATCAAAGGAAAAGTATAAAAATAGAAAAAAAATGACTAGTATTTCTTTCATCTTGATTTTAGTCCTTTTTCATCTAGTAGTATGAGAAATAATATTATCTTGAATTTTTATTAGATAAACGTTTGGAATTTCTTTCATCTTTTCATCTGTAGTATTAGCCGTAATATTGTGTTGAAGTTTTATTAAATGAAACATTGTCAACAATTATTAATTTTTAAGTAGCATTTCTTTCATTTTAATTACTTTTATCTAGCGGTAGTGGATGTGCGGGTGGTGTAATGGGTATTGGTGAAATCAGAGAACTGATTTCGAATTTCAGTCGAGTTAGTTATATTCATTTATAGATATCCTTGGTAAAGCTATGGTTTCATCTCCTTCTACCCCAGCTATGGGTTAAATAGTAGGATTTTTATCTGGAAAAAATTCTTATCTGCAAAGAAATTTTTAATACAATATCCACTCGCCAGAGAGAATTATTCTTATAATCAAAAAATGCTTCGATCTTAAATAACGCATAAAGCGTTGATAAGCCGTTAAGCAAATAATCCCGTAGCATTAGAATTAATATTATCTTGAATTTTTATGAGATGAAGTATTGTCAGCCATTATGAAGTTTTATCAAGTATTTCTTTCATCTTTTTACCTGCTTTTTATCTACTAGTATTAGTAGTAATATTATCTTAAATTTTTGATAGATGAAGTATTGTCAGCCATTATGAAGTTTTATCAAGTATTTCTTCCATCTTAATTTTACCTGCGTTTTATCTACTAGTATTAGTAGTAATATCATCTTCAATTTTTAATAGATGAAACATTGGTAAACGTTCATTTTTGACTGCTATTTCTTTCATCTTAATTTCAATTGCTTTTCATCTATAGTATTAGCAGTAATATTGTTTGAAGTTTTATTAAATGAAACATTGTCAACCATTATTAATTTTTTAATAGCATTTCTTACATTTTAATTAATTTTTATCTAGTGTCCGTGGATGTGCGGGTGATGTAATAGGTAGCAGTGAAATCAGAGAACTGATTTCGAATTCCAGTCAAGTTCGTTATATTCATTAATAAATATCCTCGTAAAAGCTATGTATCCATCCCATCCTACCCCTGCTATGGGTTAAATAGTAGGCTTTGTATCTGGAAAAATCATTGTTATCTGAAAAAAAAACTTTTAATACAATATTCACTCGCCAGAAAGCATTATTCTTACAATCAAAAAATATGTTTCGACCTTGAATAACACATAAACAGTTGATAAGCCGTAAAGCAAATAATCTCGTAGCATTAGAAATAATAATATCTTCAGTTTTTATTAGATTAAACATTGGTAAACATTATTCATTTTTGACTGGTATTTCTTTCATCTTAATTTCAATTGATTTTCACTTGTATCTCGGCCCCACTTTTTCACTGTCGAAACAGTTAAATGTAACCGTCGCTTCAACACAAAAGGTTTTTTCTCTGGCACTTCCCGTCTGTGGAACGCCTTTCCGCTTGTTTGCTTCCCTGATAATCATAATCTTCAAATATTCAAGTGTAATGTCAATCGACATCTGACACCTTGAGCTTGTTCCCCGTTCTTCTCTGTATCCTCTCCCCAAACATGCCTCTTTACTCTTGTTCGCAATCCTCTGGAACTCTTTGCTAGTGGCACTCCTGCCTTGCTTGGGGTGAATTGCTTTAAAAAATATATACTGTCAACATTAATATTATCGTGAATTCCATTATTAATTTTTGACTAGTATTTCTTTCATTTTAATTGTTTTTTATCTAGTAGTAGTGGATGTGCGGGTGGTGTAATGGGTAGCGAGGAAACCGTCGGACTGAGTTCGAATTCTAATCGAGTTCGTTTTGTTAACTTACAAATACCCTTAAGAAAGATATGAATCCATCCTTTCTTCTCCCAGCTACAAGTTAAATATTAAGATTTATATCTGAAAAAATCGTTGTAATCTGCAAAAAAATTGTTAAGGTAATATACTTTCAAAAAAAGAATTATTTTTACAATCTATAATGTTTTGATGTTAAATGATCCCATAAAGGTCGATAAGCCGTAAAAAAAGCAAATCATCAAGTAGCATTAGTAGTAGTATTATGTTGAACTTTTATTTGATGAAGCATTGTCAACCATTATTTATTTTGACTGGTATTTCTTTATTCTTTCACACTCAGTAACCCCTGCGTCTTAGTGGCTTTGTGGCCTTGCTTGGAGTGAAATAATTAAAGAGCAATCAAACCATTTCAAATATTTTAAAGTAGGAATATTTATTTTGGTTTTGAATGTCTTTTCAACTAATTTTGTACATGTATGAATTATATGAAATGGATTAAATCCGATAAATATCTTATTTTACAGATACAACTTATTTGAGTAAATGCTCTGTTCGAGAAATTTCGTTGAAAATATGCATCCCTCGACAGGAATCGAACCTGCATCCCATACAAAAACCGTCTTTTTGTCTGACGTGCTCTTAATCATCCAGCCATAGAGAAATCACGGTTACAGAAGCTCAAATTACTGCTGATGAACAGAAATGACCGTTTCCATATATTTTCTACGAAATGTCTCGAACATTCAGGCCGGTAAATGTAATTAATACTGTTTAATTAAAAATAGAGCACTTACTCAAGTCGTATCCATAAAAATAAACAGAATACATATATATATATATAAACATATATTATGAAATGGACAAAGTCCGACATTTTAAGACATTTTTATGTTTATACATTCTTTTTATAGATATAAATATTTAAGTAAATGCTCTGTTTATAATAAACAGTATTAACAACATTTACCGGTCTGAATGTCTGAGAAAAAAGCCGTAATTATCCATATGGTCATTATTTTCCCAAGCACTTTGAATATCATCCAGTATTATCTTTAGGTGTGAATTGCTAAGACAAAGAATTGATGTAACTTTTGAAAATGTGTGGGCTGAACGCTGTAAGCTGTGTGAGCAATGACCTCGGGCCACATATCAATTTAAATTCTGTGTTCCCTTTCTCCGAAGCTGGTTTCCAATCATAGTTTAATATCATGGTTTGGGGATGTTTTCTGCTAATGTAACGAATAATTTAGAGATAAGAGATGGTAGAATGAATTCAAAAATATACCAAGATATTTTGAACTCTAATTTGTTTGGGTCCGTAGTGAAGCTTGGACTCCCAAATAAATGGGTTTTGCAACAAGATAATGAAACTAAAAGGCTAAATCTACGAAGAAAATGGCTTATTGAAAATTATGCCAATAAAATCGAATGGTCGTCAGTCTCCAGAGTTGAATCCAAGAGAGAATTTGAGGCGTTTATTAAAAATTCAAATTAATAAAAGAGCTCCCCAAAATATCCTGGATCTAAAGAGAATATGCAAAGAAGAATGGAGTAAAAAACAAACATAAATTTGTAAATCATTGATTAAAAGTTACAGAAAGAGACTGATTGCTGCTGAATTGAGTAAAGGATATGCTACAAAGTATTAAATAGGTATGTCGTACGAGTATTTTTTTCGCCTCCATCTTGTTTTAATTTCATATAATTTCATTAATATAACAATTTTTGTGACTTTTTTTGCATATTGCAGCATTATGACATGGTATACAAATATTATAAATTATTATAAATAAAAAAAAATCATGGTGTACGAATATTCTCCCACCCACTGTATATATTTACATTCAAACTATCAATGGTGGTAGATTATTGAAACAGAATATTCATTAACTAATGACGTCTTAATTCCAATTGCATGATATATATATATATATATATATATATATATATATATATATATATATATATATATATATATATATAGATAGATAGATAGATAGATAGATAGATAGATAACTAGACTCGTTTTCGAAAAACCCTCGAATTTTTAATTTGCTAATCAAATCAATGTCGAGGGAAAAACGGTTTTAAAAAAAGAAAGAGCTACAAACATGAACTTCTGCCGACAAAAAAATCGCGCAGATGCAGGTCTGAAGCCCAAAGAAAAAACCGCGATACGAGTAACAACTAACTAACAAAAGAGCTCAATACAACCGTAGAGCAGACCTAGATACACCTAGTGAGCTAGACAAACCTACCTAGGTTTCACCTAAACGGATCGTCAGGGAAAGTTTGGCTGACTTTCCTGACGATCCGTTTAGGTGAAACCTAGGTAGGTTTGTCTGGCTCACTAGGTGTATTCATCTATCTATTCATCTATCTATCTATCTATCTATATATATATATATATATATATATATATATATATATATATATATATCAAAGCAAGAGGTTATAGTAGTTCCAACGAAAGAAAAGTGAGTATATTAAAACAGAGAGAAACCGCAAGCGTTTTTGGTTGTAATATGGATTTTATTTTTAAACTCTATGCTTTATTTTCCTTAATTTTGCTACACGGGTTTCCGACCTCGCGATCTTCATCAGGCAAAGCGTGGAGATTTCCACATATTATTAAAAATATTTTTTTTTTTTCCTTTATGTTTTTCGATGTTAAATATTCTCGATATCAGACATTCTCTTTTTTT